CTTCCCTTGTATGAAAGCTAGTTGAATCAGTGTCGTTCCATTAAATGCAGACCTTGAGGGTTTGTGTACCGGAATTGTGAATTACTGACTGCGACCAGCTGAGTTACCCGTGACCAACTTGTGTCTCGGAGGAAACAACTTCCATGTCACTTTCGTTGTCTAATTGTCTGGAGCTTGAGAAGCCAAACTATTGAATAGGCTGAAGTGAGACTGCTGAAGCAAAATTCTGGTGACTCGTTCAGCTGTTCGATTCCCAAAGCTATGGGGATCTCGCTTCGACTGTACACAAAACACGTTTTGCCCTTCTGAGTGGATCGTGTATTCGTCGATAACAGACAGCAGTTCACAGCGTGCTTAAAGGACACTGTGCCTGCTATACCGCCACGTCCATCCCAGTCCATTTGACCGCTAATCACTAACAAGATGCCGGTCTCTGCCATCTACGCCGTCTATCAGTTACGCCATCATTCGTCACCTACCAACTATGCCATCTACTACAAAGCACTCTTCCACGATTCCTGTTTGAAAAGACCCGGCTGTAATTATGGTACTCAGTAAATTACTACCGAATTCCTTGGAGCAACCAGCGCCGTATTCTCATTTCCCTAAATCACCCTCCCTTTCATGACCACTTATATGTGTGTGACGTTCGTTCACAACTGAAGAAGAAGCAGGAAAATGATGCCATCTCATCTGTTGTCCTCTTACCGTCCTGAATAAATGGGTATTTCGGCATATTCATCGCGCGTTATCCGCTTGGGTGGAAGAATGAACTTCGGACAAGTTTTTCTGTATTTGTACCAATTGCTGCGGTTATGTTTCGTACTCAGAATCGCCGCTAGTTGGTTATTCCACCGGGGAAATAGGGCAAATAAATACGCACACACCTCAATACTTTGAAAGTTTAGGTTTCTGTCCGTCTCTTACAAGACACCTGGTTTGATCAGTAGCTTGATGTGGTCTCCCCAGAGTTCATTCCTGAGGTGACTAACTCACTGGAAGCAACCAACTACGTTCTGCATCTTCTGTCAGACAGTCTTGATGTTTACGGACCAGAAAGTCCGTAGTTCGAACCCGACCTCTGCATTTCGACCTTTGTCTAGGTTTGGGTAACGTGGCAGTATCCCCGCTCTTGTGCTAGGAACCGGGAAGGTGTTACATCTTAACTATTTATTTATTTTATTTAATCCATTTACAATTTAGTGTTTTACTTTAGGAAACAAGAATGTTGGACTTGGCCCACTGGATGAGATTCAACGGAACCGTCAGTGTTCTGTCGAAGGTTCTCAAACTTTTGAACCACTATTGTACCAAAACAAAACTTCGCATCTTGTTCGAATTTGTTTGGTGGACGCGTTACTGATAACGGGTTATGGATAACACCAGTGGTTCATATATCCGGTCCATCTGTTGTACCCCAGTAAGGCGGACAGGCCTCGTGTGCCTGTGCATCCGAGGATCCTACAAAATACAGAATCGAAATTCCACCATGTTTATTTTCTTATTTATTTATTTATTCATTTCAAAGCCGAATCTTACCATGACCGTTTCTCTGCTATTCTCTTTCTTTCAGATTCTCCTAACAGAATTGAATACGTTCTACTTAAAATACGTACTTTGGGTACCCCCTCCGCACATTCTGTGTTTCTTGCGACTGCTATTTTCTATTCTATGGGGCGGACCGGCGATTTATGAATACTTCCAATATATGGATGACCCGTAAGTCATTTGACCACGTTCCGCTAATTCGATTGAGCGTTCTTTTCCAGACTAGCTTGCTATTATTCCTGATTCATGAGAACAGTCTAAACTGACCGTAATTTAAACAAGAATCGAACTGGGGGACTTAGATAAACATGCGTCGTAAAAAATCGTTCAGCAGTAACACCCTTCCGATGCCTAGCCACCACGCCACCTGAAGGAAGCACGGGGGCTGCGGTACTGCCAGGTTGCCCAAGCCTAGACAGGGGAGTTTAGATGCTGAGGTGGGTTCGAACCACGGACCTTTCGGTCAGTAATTTCGCGCCCTAACCAATTAGACCATCTCCCCCCATGCATACTTTTCCGTGCAATATCTTCTCGTCATCATCGATTCACTCTTCAACACTATATGGAACCGAAAAATCCCTCCTCTCCCAATGAATAAGACAAAAAAGCATGGTGGTTCATTCGTGGACTGCCATATCTTCTTCTGGTGTCTGTTTTGAAGATTTACTCATGGGAACATCAGGCTCGTAGCACCAGGAGGACTCAGACAAAAGCTAGGCGCGGGTGATCCCTTGTTGAACGTGTGATCGATTTTTTTCACTGTAGTCCTCGGTTGCATCATCCCAATCGGTCGTGGAGGATAGCCAGTTTCGACAGGAAATCGGACTGGGGACGTTGGGTTGTCTTCAAACTAATCACCCACAATCGGAACCTGAGGGAGGGTATTAGAGAAGGATGACTGCAACAGAAAATGGGGTAGGAAAATCACAGAGATGTTGGAACTGCTCCCGTTTGCAACTACCAATCCGCCCACCTCGGGCCGTATATTATCAGTATCACTATATTTGTTTCTTTCGTTGTACTGGCTGCTTGCCACTTTTCAGTTACTTTCGGAGCTTTGGAATGTCAGAGTTTCAGTTCCACATTTCAACAGAGACCTGCAAGTATGGGGCCAAGTACAGTGTGGTCAAGAAAACCGGTCACCGATCGATTCTCTGTCCACAGTATGTATCGAATCCGGCCATAGCCCTGAGTCGTTTCGCGTTTCTGTCCATGGTGTACCACGTGAGTTAATGCGACACTGTATAGAACAGATCAACGACAGAAGTACAGAAAGAGCAAACTTGACAGATCCGATAGACCACGCATTCTGCTCATTCGGCTGTGGTTGGACGTTAAACTCGCGTTGCCATCGCTTGTGATTAGGTGCGCATAGTTGTTTCAGACATCCATGCCATGTGGTGGCATTCAAACTGAGTGCTTGGTTAGCCAATTTTTTCGGCTTTATTCGTTTTTATCGACATAATCCGGACATAGTACATCAAAAGTTGGTCTAGAAGTTTGCTTTTCAAGATTGGGTCCGTCAGGTGTAGTCTAAACACGTATAGACAGACAAAACAGTCGAACAAAAGCGTTGGGTATCGGTAATGTCGATACTCGACAAGAGAACGACGCTGTTTAAGAAAGTCATGTTCTGATCACCTGAAGCTCAGCCACACCAAGCCCATTAGGTAGGCATGGAAGAATCGGTCTGCGTACCAACTTGTTGGCGTTCGGACCGTGTGTCGCGTGTTCAGGTTTGTGCATTTAGTGATTTTGATTGGGGGTTAATTACAATTATAACCGATTCTTGCGTTAGCCAACTAACGTGATTACCAGATTCTCTTCTGGTTGCTATGCTTCATTCTGATTGGTAGCTTCTCACACAGATCGCCATCATCGCCAATTCATCAGGCCGGTGTAATGTTCGTTTATTCCAGTCAGCTGACCTCCGGATACTGGTGTCATAGGGAAGAACGTGATCAGGGTATGGTCGATAAGGTTGTGCGAGAATTCTTGCCACCTTATGAATCGAATTCATCCATTGTACCCACGGTTGCGTGTGTTCCGAAGATCAACAAGTTGGACCCCTCAAGCAAATAACCAAGTGACTTATCCCTTTTACAGCCAACTAATGGTTTTGATTTAGGACAGAGGAGTACCTCTTATGTCCTGTGCTTTCTAAACTTCCCACTCTTTCTTCTGTGACGAAGCTCAACGCAGTCTACTTTGTTCAACTGTGCTCTTTAGACTGTCGGGGGATTTGACCAGCCGCAATGTGTGTGACAGAAAGGGTGTCATCGTTTACCCAAAGCACTTACCTCGTCAGGCATGTGTACCGACGGCTCTCAAACGCTGTACTATTCCGATGCATTCATATTCCCTCTCTGAGGCACGCACCTCGTCAATTAGTACACAGATTATTGTTAGAACCACGCGTTCTTCGTCAACTCTCGAAAGTGAAAGTTGATTGGCTCTGTGCCTACTACTTTATATGACAGTCAACCATTTTATATCAGAATTAGACTAATCCATACGTCTTTATTAAAACGTCCGAGAAGGCGTGATTGGCTATATAGACCTCCTCCCCGCGAGACGGTACATTCAAGTCCAAACTGTGCTCTGGTTGACTCTGTGGACTTGCTAACCACTCTCAGTATCAATTTGTCCTGCTGAGTCATCATGAATTGCGGACAATCTCCTTGAGTCCACCGTCCGTTACCCTCCTCCCACCCTCGCTCTTTACTTTCCCCCATTCATGTAGTCCACCGAAACTGTCTAAATTGAAGTCGCTTTGTTCTTGAAAACCGCTCAAAGTTCGGATCGATGATTCGATTTGTTCTCTATGGAACAGCTGTCATTCGTTTCGTGGTACTGTCTCATCTTTGAGCACATTATTTTGGTTTTCGGCTGATCTAAGGCTACAGGGAAAAGCCTTTTCATCACCTGCAAAAAACACTCAATGCCGCTTTTTCTCATTCGGAAAGCTGTAGATTACGTTTGTGGGTTGAAACGTTTTCATAACTAACTCTCATTTCGGGAATCAATGTTCCAGTAATGTTGACCCATTCACCCTGTTGTTTCTGCCTAATGACTTGCCTGTCGTCTTACTTCGAAAGGCTAATTGGATGGGGGTTGCTCGAAACTGGTATTTTTCTCTGCAGGTGATCGATAAAGTCGAGACATGCATCGGACTTAGGTCCTCGTTTTCCACCTGGTTCGGATCCCCCGGGACATAAAAATAAAACTTGAAAATTGCAAATAATGGACTTCTGCAGAAGAAACGCAGTCTGCTAAATTTCAGGGGAAATCGTGTCAAACTGTCACATACTTATTTGGTTTTTCAGGTGATTTTCAGCCGGATTACATCGATTTAAGCAAAGCGAATTCAATTTGCCATTTTCCTCCAATCGAACCCAGTGAAAGGGACTATCCCTAGGAGAGGTCGTTTGACGGAAAATCACTTTTTGGGATTGGTTTTCGTTTCACTTTGTAGAATTTGTATTCAAATTGTTCGTGTAAACAACTCACTTACTGTGTTGACGCAACCATTGTGGCAAATCCACTCTCTTTTTAAAATTAAACAATAGTGTGAACCTTCGCCGTACCCGACGTGTTAGGTGAGTGTGTTAGCAACGCACGCTGGATGCACCTTGATCAGTAGTAGTAGTAATGGAAAGAGCTACCTTGTATTCTGATGAAATACACTCATTTTGAGACTCGTCTGAATTCCAGCTAAATGTCTCGTTTGTGATATAACATGAGGTTGACGGTTGAATCTGAAGAAGGGCGAAACCGATTCGTGGACCGTCGCAGAGGTTTCAGCAAACTTATGAGTAATGTTTCCAGCGGGAAATCCCACTGGGGGGTTCTTCGTCTGCCTTGAAACTCTGTAACGAATTCACTTGGCCCAACGAAACTTTTGTGTTCAGAACGACACGGTACACAGCAATACATTCACCGGTTGCTTGCCACTCAGGCTGTTCAGAACGTCTTCTGATTTGTTGGAAACACCTACGAACCATGTATTCGGTAGATCACTTCCAGGACTTCACCAATCCACTTCTTTGACTGCTAGCTTTCCGATTCCGATATTCAGTCGTCGAACTTGTTCATCTCAGGCAAGGAGCGTGCGTGATGCCGTGGGCACCAGTGACCAACTCGGACACGCTTTAAACTGGCCATTGTCTCGGCCAGCTTCTTGTTACCATTCCGTAGTTCCCACCAGGCAGCTACACCATTAATCAGGACGCCCATTAAATCAGATATTATGTCTAATCCGGCCATAGCCCTGAGTCGTTTCGCGTCGTGGCTTGAGAAATGCAAAATAGTTCATGGACGAATTAGAACGCATTCTTTTTTAAAATCTTTCAGCTGTAGCACTCTTTGGCGCCTAGGCTGCCATGCCACCCGAAGGAAGCACGAGGGCTGAGATACTGCCAGGTTGTCCAAGCCTAGACAAGGGAAGCCGGGAGGCAGAGGTCGGGTTCGAACCACGGGCCTCCCGGTCAGTAAATTCGCGCTCTGACCGATCGGGCCATCTCGCACATTCTTTATAATGATGGTGAGGGAGTCACAGCCCATTGTTCATTTGAGCGTTCCGTTTTCCTTCTGCCGCTAATAAGAATTTTATTACGTATCCCTTTTTTATTCTCTTCAGAAATTGCAAACGTTTAGGTCGCCAGGTGTGGATGCTTTCCAGCGTCATCATTACCGAGCTGTTGATAATTCTGAAATTCGGCTGGAACACGGTCACCAAACCTCTCCCTCGCCACGTGGCTTTATTCTGGCTAGTGGCGATCGTCGGTCTAACCTTGTGGACGTTCTGGCACTTTTACATCACCAGGTGGCTGTTCAAGATGAGCAAAAAGACGGACCAGGAACTCTTGAAGCAAAGTGAATCGGACCACTCTCACACAGACTGAGATCCTGAGCCCCAGTTTGGACTATCCCTAGGTTTGATGAACTTGGTGTTGCTCGACTATTTTCAGCTATTTTCGACAACCTTATGTAACGTTTTATATTTTCGAAGCTATGTCTGAAATGTGTTTTGCTATTTTTTAATTAGGGCACACACCTCTAGTTCGAAGGTGCGTGCCTTTCCTGTCTTCCTTCGATTTTGAGAACCGATGTCTTTATGTGATTTCTACTGTTGTATTTCTCCGCTATACCCTTGATGGCCTAAAGATTTCACATCATGGAGTTCATTTAATATTACGTGTAGTGAGAATTTTTATTACTGTCTTCATACCTTGGATAGGTTTTGTAGGGCTGTGGACATTTTTGTGGATTTTTTCACGATTGTGGCACGATATCAAAGTAGTTTTTGGGCTACTTCCAAAATATGAGTAACATGTTCAGAAAGGCAATATTACACGGTCATCCGGTTTACAGCCACTGTCGTTTAGGCTCCCGTTACGCAGCGCGATCCCGCTCATGCTTAAATTCGATGAGGTTGTTAAACACCGAATACTGTCACAGCTGTCTTAGCATACCAATTTGGTTTTGACGGGAGCGTCGCTTGAAACCCAACTGAATCTCTCATTTAGGATGTTCTCCAGTAAACTCAGATAAACGTTTGCCGCATATTTTTGGGTGTAACCTACTTCTAACTAAGGCTACCGTAAGCATTTAAGGGCTACTTAGTTGTCCGGTGGACCGTAAGGCACTTTGGAATGCTCTGGCGAAGAACTCAGGTTCTTGATACCTCCCAATACAGTCAACTTCTAACTGAAGTGAGTTGCTGAATTTCCTCTAAGTTTGTGGATTCGTGCACTACACACTCCGACGCGTTTTTGTGTGCCGCTCACCTTTGGCTGGATTGGCAGCCTACCTTTCGTAGGTCCATCAGTCGTTGGAGGACCAACGTTAGATTGTTCGTTCCCTGAGTGCTACCTGCATTCAACTCTCCAGCTGGTGATTTATTCGGAATACTGCACCTCTGGGTGTCTCGCACCGGACTACACCAAAACAGACTCGATATCTTGTTGAGTCTGCATTGTGCGCCTATATTTTATCATGGAGTATTTAACAGTCGTGATCCGCGTCTCTCATTCATGTTTGTCGTACATCGAATTCGCGGTCGCCATATTGAAACCCCACTGGAAACGTGAGCTCTCTACTTGCTACTAAGTCCTTAATCAGATTGGACGAGTATCGTCATGACGGAACACACTACTTATGAGGTTGCTAAAACCCCTTGACAGCACTCGACCGATCACTGCCTTCTTGAGACTCTAGGAGATGACATTGAATTTCACAGCTTTGGCCAGAGTACTCCGGACATGATGTGTTATAAATTCACAGAGTGTCTGCAAAAGACAAGTTTTGATGACAGCCTTGTGTGCAGTGTTCCGCTTTCTCTACAAAAATATCAGCCATAAGCTACCTCAAATGTGAGCCTCTTTATTTCATCTGAATTGTACATTGTACACTGAACAAGAACGCCTGAAGACACGTTGTTGACAGTGTGATATGACCAACTGTGCAACAGCCTCGCCTAAGCCTAGCGAAAGAATTAGCTGGTTGTCAACGTCTGACCGCTGAATGATGTTCACAGTTTGGTTTTGACGGAAGGCTCACTCGGAACTCAGCTGAATTTCTTGTTTATGATGTTTTTTTCTCAACTGAATGTGCTGTCCCAGGCTGCAGCGTGTTTCAGTTGGTATGCTATTCGACACATCGCAACACACTGAGTAAAAGTCTAAACCAAACTGGTATGCAGATGAGTGTCTAAGAGGAATTTTGTGCAATGAGAACATGAGGTTGGCGGGAACTCGGAGACCGATGACCCACAACATAAGCGATACCGGTCGTGGGCTGTCGAAGATTTTTCAGCAACCTTTTGAGTAGTGTGGTATCACACATACTTTGTTTGTCTACTGATCTTCCAACTCTACTGTGACTCGCGTCGAAGATTGCTTTTAAGGGATATCCTGTACTGATGTACTTTTGTTGAATAGCGGAATGATGGATGCAGATGACGCAAGACGAGTAAACTATTTGTCGCCGAAGATTCCTTACAATCCATGAACTTTTCGGCATTTAGTTATCTGCCTTTTCGCCCAACTTCCGTTATCTTCTTCGTCTCCTGTTCTTTGCTCTTCGCATATCCCTCGCTTGAAGTGAATGGCTTCGCTGGTGTAAATAGACGAGATGTCCCTTTGAAAACAACCCACATTGCAACGGTAAATCTAATAAACTGAATCCAAAATTTGATCAGGTATTTTTGGAATAGAGAGGTTTGCGGTCACCTTGAAATGCTAGATCTAACCGCCTTACTGTTAACTATTGGGAGTTACGCGAAAATCTCGGTCGAATGCTTAGTTACTCAGGAAGGTTCACTGGAAACTAGCGTTTCGGAAGTGCCCTTGACAATTTCGGCTCTCCGTTATGGACCACCTTTTTCGTAGAAGCTAGTATGTACGGACACTATGTGCAAGGGAAGGTTATCTCTGTTTAGCTATGTCAAGCCTGGATTTACAATAGCCTAGTTTTGAACTCTACTGTCCACCTCTTGATAAGGCCCACTGGACTGGACAACCGAACTTTGGATAGAAAATTGTGATTTGTCGAGACCAATGCCTTAGAGTAATGGTGGTTGCAGTCAAAGCCGGGATAACTACAGTTCACTGTAAACCCAGTCGCTTGAGTAGAACTCAGTTGTATTGGTGGCACTCCAGTTGAATGATTGAGTTCCTCAGACGATCACTTTATAGCAATTGATTTTGTCTCACACCCGAAGGTTAGACGAAGTTTATCCAACCCAGTCAAAGAGCGGGCCACACGGTACTGCTAAGCTCACTCAAGTTCTGAAGGATTGAGTTCAGAGTTTAAAGTGCTGTCGAGGCCGAAGTACTCTTCAGCTCCCCCCTGCAAGTGAACTTCAGCGTAGCCCTCTTACATTCAAGTAATAGGTCTTCACTGACTGTGTTTGGGGTGGATTTTTAACAAAGTATTTCTGTACACAAAGATTAAATTCCGCAGGCGGATAGAAGAAAACCGCAACCTTCATCTTTGGAGATCTGAAGCGCTGAAATGAGATGTGAGTAACAGAAAGGCGAATTTCCAGCAGCCATGAAATCCCTTTTTGTGGTTTAGGAAATAGACGTTTTAGAATGGGATGAGAACGGCGAATTGATATCAATCCGAAAAAGCAAGCGTAGTCCAGTAAAATCATCAGTTCAAGAGGCAAAACCGCTGGAAGAATGCAATAAATGCTAGTGAGCTTAAGCTAAGTACAGGGTGATTTTCGTTAAGTCGACCAAATTAAAAACTGAGTTGTATGTCTTTCTACATTAAGCTACTACCGGTCTGGGCCAAAGAAGAATGCAATAAATGCTAGTGAGCTTAAGCTAAGTACAGGGTGATTTTCGTTAAGTCGACCAAATTAAAAACTGAGTTGTGTCTTTCTACATTAAGCTACTACCAGTACCCACTGGGCCAAACTGAACACCACGTTTAGGCAAGACATCAGCTGATCGATGTGTCACAACACGGTGTAAGTGTCTTCGCGATATTCAAATTCCGTTATGGGCGTAACATGGCAGTTGTCGCTGTTGAATCACCATGCGCACAAATGTCTTTATGACTCCGTCTACTTCAATCCGTTTCTCCCCTGGGACTCCAAACCGGCCTCCCAAACTTTCATCCAATGAGACCGTCTGCCGTTTTATACCAGGTGGCACCGCAACTTGCTCCGATCCTGTCAAAATTTAAACGTTCGACCAACCATTCGCTGTGGAGTGATTTCACCGGGTGCATCCTTTTGGTTTTTACGCTGGCCCATTAATTCAGGCCAAGCATTTAGCCAATTTTGGCCTCGTGGCGTTCGTCTCAGTGAGACACACTTGTAGCGACTGGACGGCCTAAAAATTCAAAAAGACCTTGGAAAAAGTTTGGAACCGATTGAGAAGTCATCATTTCAGAAGAGCTTGGTAAACAATCGGTAGTTTTTATTTGGGCAACGTTTCGCTTTTGAGACAAAAGCTTCATCGGGCCAAGTGAACAGGTCACAAAATTGGCCAGGTTATAAGACAGACGGGGAACCAATCAGTAAGTCCTCTTCAAACTGGATCAGTGTTCCAGAGGGGGAACACTCTGCGCTCTGCATTGGTGCAATTGAAGGATCGCCTCCCGGCAAACAGAAACAGGGACTGTGTCTACAAAATCAAGTGTAATGACTGCACCAAAGTCTATATAGGACAGACGGCCAGGGAACTACACATCAGAGTCGGAGAGCATAGTAGAAAAATAA